CCTGCTGCGCTGCAGATACAGCTGTTTACCTTTGGTGAATCTGAGCGTTGCTTCACAAAAATCCTCTTCTTTGTAATTAAATCCAGCAGCTGCTCCGAGCTTCTCTGCCATTTGTAACTTGGGCAGGGAGCCAGCTGTGACCAGAGGAATAGCTCCAGCCAACCGGGCAAGTTGGATGGCAGCTGTACCCACACCACTGGCTCCTGCATGGATTAGCACAGTGTCTCCAGCTTGGACATTTCCTGTGACAGAAAGGACAGAAACCGAGTGTCTCCAGCTTGGACATTTCCTGTGACAGGACAGAAACCTTTCTCTTTACTTTCCAACGGCTATACACTCCCCACACAGGCATTATCTTGCCATGACCACCTGGCCATTGGACCAAATGCCAAATCTCTTGCCTTTTTTAAGAGAATATATTGACGGTTCTTTTTATTTATTTATTTTATCTAATTTTTTGAGAGATTTTTGCTATAGGGTGCGTGCACTCGCCAGACAGACAGAGACAGAGAGACAGAAAGCAAAAAATCACCCCCCAGGGGGATGGCCAAACCACAATCCCTTCTCCATTCTCTTCTTGGGATCTTGGGCACACATGTGCCCAGTGTGAGTTTAAGCCACTGGGTCTGGGACTTGAACTGTGGTCTACTACATGGGAGTCCAGTGACCTAGCCATTATGCCAACTGCTGGCCCCACAGTTCTTTTTTTTAAAGAATTATGTATTTAGGGGCTGGCGGGTGGCGCAGTGGTTTGGGGCACTGGATTCCCACATGGCCGACTTGGTTTGAGTCCTGGAACCGGCGGCATGCTTTCTCACTTTCCCTCTCTCTCTCTCACTCTGTCCCTCTCTGGTCAAATTAAAATAATAAATAATAAGTAAATAAAATAAAGTTAATTTTGTTATTCTTCAATTTGACCAGAGAGAAACTCAGAGAGAAAAAGAGAGTGAGAAAGCAAGCTGCCAAGTCCTGGACTCGAACTTTGGTCAGCCATGTGGGAGTCCAACGCTTTTGCCAACATACCACCTTCCAGTGAAGACAGTTCCTTTTTTTGTTTTGTTGCTTCTGATCAAAGTGGGAAATAACCTTTTGAAACATGGTTATTAGCAGTCACATCCTCATTCTCTGTTTAATTCTAAGAAATAACACCACAGTGCTTATCTCTGACCTATAAATAAATAGGAATAACCACCATTCCCACTGTCACCACCTGAAGCTGGTCCTTCTTCAGTCTGAACCTGGCCTCTAATCTGATCTCACTGATTAAGCCCCCACACCTAGCTACCAGGCTCCTTCGCCCTGATGGGGTTTTCATTATGTTTTGCCCCCCCCAAAAAATTTAAACTGGGTCGCCGCTGGCTTTTGCATCGAGTCCAAACAGATTGGCATTTGAGGCCACCACAATCTGGCCCCAGCCGCATCTTTCACAAATGACAATCATCCTTCATTTATAAGTGCAGCAACTGGTGTCACTTTGATATTCTTTAGACTACCTTGGCATGCCTCTGTCCATCACAACTCTACCCACCCTTCAACTCCTCCTCTTCTAAAATGCCCTCTCTGACCACCCTTACCCACACCCACCTTCCCATCTCAAGCTGTAGTTAGAGACAGGGCTACCCTTTGAACTCTACGATTGTGTGATTCTTGTTCATGTTTCATCTTCGCAGTTATATTGAGCTCTCTAAAGGCAGAGACCAAGTCTTAGGTTCACCAGGTGTGCTCTCCTCAGAGGAACTGAGGAGGAATAAATGAATTGATTGGTCCCTTCTGTTGCACTGGGACCCAGAGAGAAGCTTGGTGTGATCTGGAGGAGCTGGGACGGCTTCTGGGCCTTCAGTGTTAAGACGTGCCCAGGCCTTCTATCCAGTACTTTCCAGGCCTCTATCTGCTAACTATGATTCCGGCCCCAACATCACACCATTGGAACATGGACTGAGGGCCTGATCCTACTGCTGGTGTGGATATGTGGGTGTGGATATGTGGTGGGTGTGGAAATGTGGTCAGACTAAACCTGCCCTGAGGGACTGCTGGGCTTTGAGGTGGCGGATTCGTGAAGGAGTTGAGCCACACTGTTTTGGAGTAAGCATGGGGACCCTCCTCACCCAAAAGATACAACAGCTGGAAGGCAGTGAGCCAGGCTTCTGGGATGGCTGCAGCCTGAGTCAGGGTCAGTCCCTCTGGGATGGGTATGAGGAGCCCTTCAGGGATGGTGACATACTGAGCCTGGCCTCCACCAGGCAGCAGAGCCATGGCCGAGTCCCCGATCTTCCAGTGTCCCTGGCAGCCAGGCCCCAGCTCTGCCACGCGTCCAGAGGGCCCCAGCCGCATCTTTCACAAATGACAATCATCCTTCATTTATAAGTGCAGCAACTGGTGTCACTTTGATATTCTTTAGACTACCTTGGCATGCCTCTGTCCATCACAACTCTACCCACCCTTCAACTCCTCCTCTTCTAAAATGCCCTCTCTGACCACCCTTACCCACACCCACCTTCCCATCTCAAGCTGTAGTTAGAGACAGGGCTACCCTTTGAACTCTACGATTGTGTGATTCTTGTTCATGTTTCATCTTCGCAGTTATATTGAGCTCTCTAAAGGCAGAGACCAAGTCTTAGGTTCACCAGGTGTGCTCTCCTCAGAGGAACTGAGGAGGAATAAATGAATTGATTGGTCCCTTCTGTTGCACTGGGACCCAGAGAGAAGCTTGGTGTGATCTGGAGGAGCTGGGACGGCTTCTGGGCCTTCAGTGTTAAGACGTGCCCAGGCCTTCTATCCAGTACTTTCCAGGCCTCTATCTGCTAACTATGATTCCGGCCCCAACATCACACCATTGGAACATGGACTGAGGGCCTGATCCTACTGCTGGTGTGGATATGTGGGTGTGGATATGTGGTGGGTGTGGAAATGTGGTCAGACTAAACCTGCCCTGAGGGACTGCTGGGCTTTGAGGTGGCGGATTCGTGAAGGAGTTGAGCCACACTGTTTTGGAGTAAGCATGGGGACCCTCCTCACCCAAAAGATACAACAGCTGGAAGGCAGTGAGCCAGGCTTCTGGGATGGCTGCAGCCTGAGTCAGGGTCAGTCCCTCTGGGATGGGTATGAGGAGCCCTTCAGGGATGGTGACATACTGAGCCTGGCCTCCACCAGGCAGCAGAGCCATGGCCGAGTCCCCGATCTTCCAGTGTCCCTGGCAGCCAGGCCCCAGCTCTGCCACGCGTCCAGAGGCCTCGAGTCCCAAAATGCTGCTGGCTCCTGGAGGTGGGGCATATCCACCTTGTCTCTGCAGAGAAAGGCGTGCACTAATTAGTGAGCATGATCAGAAATATTTGTGTCACCATCCTTGGCCCTCTTCCAATATCCTCTCTTCTTTTCAAGAAGAAAATTGAGTACAAAGTCAGGTTTGAAAAGTCAGGAAAAGAGAGGAGAGATAATTTATTTTATGCATCTAACAGACTATAGGTCACAAAACCAGTGGGTGTCATAGCTGGTAGGGCCGCTAGCTAATTACTTCAACTAAACCCCTTGTTTCACAAATGGAGAAACTGAGGCCAGGGCAGAGAAATGCCTTGTCCCAGGTCACAAGGTAAATGAGAAGCAGGCCCAGGAACAGAGCCAAGGACTCACCTATCCAGTGCCAGCTCACTCACCCCAGTTCTCAGAAGCTTTGGACCAGAAGGACTTAATTAGAAGAGTGCGATGAACCATGAGGAGCTTTTTCTTTCAAAGGACACTTGCCTGGGCTCCCCCTCATGTTTATTTTGAAAAAATGACCTAGGAAATTCTGATGCACATTTCTGAATGACCAGCTACCAGAGATGGCTGTTGCTTGCACAAATCAACAGCAGACAAAAGAATCTCAGGGCACTGTCCCCTGCCAGCGCTGGGACTCTCAGGGCAGGAGTTCAACTTTGGAGACTCAGGGGCTTCAGTCTGAACCACAGCTCCTCAGATTACTCTGTTGTGGCCTCGCTCAAATTGCTTAACCTCTCTGACCCTCTATCTGTGGAATACAAATGCTGACCAGGGTTGCCTAGGAGATGGGGCTGGGTCACACACACCCTCTTATCTGGGGCCTGAGCACTGTGGATTAACCATTAACCAGGGTGGATTCAGCTTTGCGAATGGCCCCCTATTTGTTTTGTGTCTGAACCCCCAGGATGAGTGTTACTGGCAGTGCCTCCACATGTCTGGCAAGTGATTGTGGAAGACTGCTGTGAAGCTCCGGAGTCGTCCCCCGCCTGCCTCAGACCCTGCTACTCCAGCCCTGCTCCAGCCAGGGCTAAAGGGCCAGTTCCTGGTCCCTGCAGTCCTGCTCCGAGGGCTAGCCCTGTGCTCCCCGGCCACAGGACTGGTACCTGGAGTAGGTCCGCCCTGTTCAGGGCGCTGGCCACCACCTTCAGGAGGACTTCACCCTCTCCTGGGCTCGGCTTGGCCACCTCCTTCAGGTAGAGGTTCTCCGGTCCTCCCGGCTTGTCAAAGTGCACAGCTAACATGTCCTGCGGATACAGGGTGGGCAGAGATCCCCCGGTAGGACTTAGCGGGAGGAGCACAGGGACTACTGGCGTTGCAGCGCCCCCTGTAGGCCAGCCGCTGCGCTCCGCGGTGGTCCACTGGACCTGACTCCCGGACCCGCCCGCCTGCCTCCAAAGTCTCCTGCCACCTCCAGACCGATCCCGCAGGGGACACGGACTGGAACGGCGTGGGGTGGGACGGTGGGACGGCACAGGGCCGGCTGGCTGCATCAGCGCAGGAAAACGCTGAGGAACATTAGGCAGATTACACACCCTCTAGGTTGGGAGCCCCAGCCCCTGCACGCCCGGGTCACTGGAGCCCAGGTGGCAGAAGGCACCTTACGTACTCCTGGCCGGACTCCCCTCCTGCACTCTGGGCGTTGTGGGTCCTGGCTTCGCTGGGTCCTGGTAGCACAGCTGCAGAGCCCCGGGACTGCCTCGGCCACCGCTGGAGTGGACGGCCAGACAGGGCGGCTGCAGGGGTGGGGCCAAGCTGACCCAACCCCTCCCCCTCCCTTTTCCTCCTTTCCCCTTTAAAATGCAAAGTTAGTGACAGACGAGTCAGCTTTTCTTTTCTCTTTTAGCTCTGGAAACTAGTCTTTCTCTCGGTTTGACAGGAAGTGCTATTCCAGATCTCTACAAGGAGAGAAAACTTCGCTCTCTCTAGAGAACTAGATCAATATATTGGCAGGTGGATGGGTCGGTTTTCCGCTCCAGCCAGGCTTTTGGCGGGTTTATCCTACACGCCGGCATCCTTCCTTTCTCGTAGATACGCATCTTGAGTATGGAGGGCAATCAGGGTGTTGGCAAGAGAAAAGAGAGGGACAGTGGGAGAAAGGGAGATAAAACGCAGCCCTGGCCCGCATCCCTTGCCGCCTCCCTCCCTGGCAGTCCGGGAAGGGAGGGGCAGCCAGGCGGGTGAGACCATTTAACGGGTTAAAAGCTGTAGCAATTGGCTGCATCGGGGTTTCTCGTCCTCTGCCCTATTGACATTTTAGACTAGACGGACCGTTCTTTGCTGTGGGAGACTGCTGTGCCCTACTGTGGGATGTTTGGCTGCCTCCCAGGCTCCCTCCCACCCAAGTCATGGTGATGAAGTCTCCAGACATTGTCAGATGTCCCTTGAGAGGCCCACTTGAGAACTACACGTTTATGTGCACCTGCATCCCCTAAATCAAAGTGTTGAGATTGATTGTGAAGGCATTAGGAAACAATACTTTCATGGTATCCTAAGGTGGGCTTTTGGCAAGAGAACGATTACTGTTATGAGGAGCAGGCCCGATGATTGAGGTCTGGTGGGTGGCAACCAAGAAAAGAAGCTGAGGCGTAAGTGAAGTAAAACTGGTTTATTTGAGCCAGGGTTTCATATGAATTCCTCAAATAAGAAAATTTCTAGTTTTCCAGACACATGCTCATCAAAACAGAGACCAAGATAGACGGTGTATAAAAGAAAGAGGAGGAAAGGGGGGAGTTACAGTTGTTTGTCAAGAGTTTACAATGGGGGGCCACTGGGACCAGCAGGTGGTGTAGCTTAAGGCACTGGACTCCCACATGGCTGATGAAGGAGGGTGGGGATTTGAGTCCAGGACACAGTGGCTTGAAATTCATACAGGGCGCATGTGTGTGCATGCCCAAAATTCTGAGCGAAGAATAGATTGTGGTGCAGCCTTTCCCCCTTGGGAGCAGTTTCTCACTTTCTCTCTCTCACTCTCTGTCTCAGGCAAGTGCAATATGCCCTACAGCAAAAATCTCCCTTAAAAAAAAAAGTTTACATTGATGCATTTTTTAAAATGTGGGCACATGACTGGCTATACTCTATTTTTAAAAATTTTGTCAAAAGACACATGCGTTTGTGAGAGAGAAAGTGAGAAAGCACCTCCATGGGGAATGATCACATCACAATCCCTTCTCCTGCATTTCTCCCTCCTTTTGGGACTTTGGGCAGACATGCACACATGCTCGAAGTGTTTTCCAAGCCACTGGGTCCGGGACTCAAACTGTGCAGTCAGTCATGTAGGATCCAGCTTCCTTAACCACTACGCTACATGCTGGTCTTCCTCTTTTTCTTTTTTAAGAGAAAATGCATTAAGAATTTGATAGTTCTGGACCAGCCAAAAAATATATGCCATTTTTGGGGTTAACCTTCTGTTTAAAAATGTAAGTAAATATGAGGAGACTTCAAAAAGTCTGTGAGAAATGCAAATTTATTTTGACACCCCAAAGTTTTAAAATCCATGCATAGTTTTCTCATAATATGTATTTCCCATGAGCTTTCTGAAGACCCTGCCTATTTCCTGTGGCCTCAGCTAGTTCTCAACAACTAGTTGAGAGCTAGCCTGGTCCCAGTTCTCTCTAGCCTATCCCCTGGCCCAGCTCAGCTCTAATCTGGGCCTCTTCATTCTCTCAGCACCCTGACCTGGTAACCCACAATCCCCAGAGGCTCAGTGTCTCCCATTGGCCACAGCTCGTGTCCATCAGGGCATCTCCAGGATAATTTTGCCCACGTTCTTGTTGGCCTCCATGCGAGAGTGGGCCTTCTGAACATCAGCCATGGCGAAGATTTGGTCCACGACAGGCTGCAGCTGCACGGCACTCCCAGGGGAAAAGTGGGGTAGGACTTGCTCCGTGAAAGTCTTCACCAATGATTCCTTATACTGAGTCAGGGAAAGCAGGCTATTAACAGGGTGAGGTCCAGGCCCCTCTGCCCTCAGACAACTCTGAGGGAGGAATCAGACCATGCCTGACTGGCCCTCATACTAGCTTGGCCCAAGGGCGTCAGACCAAATCATGAGGAAAAAGGTCTAAATCTCCTTGGGAGAGGGAGCTTCAAGGAGTTCTCCTCAAATCTGTAAAAGTGTGGGGTTCCCAGTGTGAATCTAGGACCTGGCAGAGGGGAGAAGTCAGACTCAAATGAGAAAGTAGATAAAGGGACTGAGTCTTTGGGAGGAGACAGGGAACTGATGGAGGGAAGGGTAACCCTTAGAGAAGATAACCCTTAGAGTTCCTCCACAGCAAAGAAAGTTGACACCATCAGGAAAGGGCGATAAGCAGGAGTCCTACAAACCGAGGCAGCTGACGGGTGGGGACTATAATACAAGGATCTGTTCAGAATCCGCCCAGAACCAGCTCAGCTCTGCTGTTGTTTGTCACCTACCTTCTTGTCCCTGGACCTCAGGAGACTGGCCCGCAGACTTCCTCGCTTACACAACAGCTTGGAAAGCAGTGGTCCATTGACATCTGCTCCTCCCATGAGGCCATACAGAACCCACCGACCATCTGCAGCCAAGCAGTGGAGGTTCTTCTCCCAGTAGGAGCCACCAATGCAGTCTAGGATCACGTTGACGCCCACACCTAGAATAGGTTTAGTTTTTATGGCAAGGCAGATGCCCAATCTTCTCTTGTTGGACCTCGTTTTGCACAGTCTCCTAGGGGCCAGAAATAATATGGGAAGGAAAGGCCCTATCTGGGAGGCTGTGTGCATTTAGTTCTCCGAGAGAGTCAGGTAAGAAGTGCTAAGGCATTCAACCTTCAGAAGACTTCAAAATGAGGGGCTGTGTCTCCTGACAGTTCTAAACATAGACTGATCAGACCTTAAGTACTGCTCTGGAGAGCCCCCATAAGAAGTCAGTATGCTTTCCCTTTTAATAATTAAGGGATTTGGGACCACTGGATCTCCTGGAGCTTCAAGGGATGACCCTCCTCCCCAGTCTTCATAAATATGAGAATTGCTTGGGACCAGCAGATGGCGGAATGGTTACATAGCTGGACTCCCATGTAGTTGACCATAGTTCAAGTTCTGGTGGCTTAAAACTCATGCTGTGCATGTAGGCGTGTGTGCCCAAGATCCCAAGAGGAGAATGAAGGAGACGGGACTGAGGCATGGCCATCCCCCCAGGGAATGATTTCTCACTTTTTGTCTCTGTCTTTCTGGCAAACACACGTGTCCTATAGCAAAAATTTCTCTCTCTCTAAAAAAAAAAATCTTATAGCAAAAAAAAATCTCTCTCTAAAAAAAAAAAATATATATATATATATATATATGTGTGTGTGTGTGTGTATGTAAGAGAATCCCAGTCTTGATCTGTCTCCTTTTTGTTATTTTTTGCTGAAGTATCCTAGAAGTTCAGAATCATACATAATCCTTGATTATATTCATTATATTAATCTTTATGATTAGTATATATTTCTCCCATGTTCATAATTATAATTAATTTTTGGCTTATGTTATCAATTAAAAGATATTTTATTTAACTTTATTTAGTTTAGACCAGATAGGGAGAGAGAGAGAGATGGAAAGTGAGAAAGCAAGCTGCCAGGTCCAGGACTTGAACTGTGGTTGACCATGTGGGAGTCCAGAGCCCTTAACCACCATGTCACCTGCCAACCCCTTATGCTCTCAACTTATAGTGAACTTTCCTTTCATCTGAGTGGTAAGACCATCTCCAGGTTTTGTAAAAGATGAGAAAGAAGGGGCCAGCAGGTGGTGTGGTGGTTAAGGTGATGGACTTCCACCTGGCTGACTGACAGTTCGAGAATCGGAGCTGGTGGCTCACTTTCTCACTTTCCCTTTCTCTGTCTCTCTCTGGTCAAATTAAAAAATAATAACAAATAAAATTAAATAAATATAAAAATAATTGTGTGGTTTTTAATTTTTTTTTAAAATGAGAGACGGTTGGGAACCAGCAGTTAGCGTAATGGCTATGTCGCTGGACTCCCACGTAGTCGACCGCGGGTCGTGTCCCGGACCCGG